TTTACAAGCTTCTGATCACAGCAATCCTGGTATGTGGTGAAGTCACCATAAGAGCAATATCGAGGTTAAAAGTAGAATACTCAACAAAAAAGAAAAACCAGTCTGTGTAGTAGTAAACCCTCAAAGTCTGAAGTAACTAGGAATATGTTGTGTATGCTGAAACATTGCCTATCTCAACACGCCATGTCAGCCTAAGAAGATTTGTGTTGACAAAATGCTAGGTATCACCACATCAAGACGTCGCATCAGTGCATAAAGTCACTGTCTCTTGATTTGAATCACACAAGAAGATGTGGACTGTCCAACTCGGGTCATTGAGATAACAGAAATCAGACATTGGAAACTGCTAATGATATGGCTCAAAATCGAAGACAATAGTCCAAATGCATACGCTCCTAATCACACTGAAAATGGTGAATATTCTCATCAGACTTCATTTATTTTTCCTCTCTTCTCTCTCCTCGCATATACTTTGGTTTGGTTTCTTGCTATTTGTTTCCTACGCGCCTTTTCACTACATAATTCTGCTTAGTGAGGCGAACGGAACTGGTGCATCCTTGTGATGAGTTCTAAATTCATTTCTCTATCCACTTGTCTGTTTTTTTTGCCTTATACTCTGAGCTATACACTATGCTATTTATTAGGAGTTCACTGAAGCAGCTAGCCAGAATTTCCGTTGTTTGAATGATTACACATTCTTGCATTTGATCTATCCATGCATGTATCTGATGGAATAGTTCATAAACTAAGGGAATGATAATTCAGTGGTTAGTTTACGTCAGTGAGACCAGGAAGCACGGCTAGTTGAAGTGAATTCTACAGCATGAGATGGAAATGAATACGAGTGTATAGTATACTCAAAGATCTTGACAAAGTATCAAATACACTTAATGTTGGTAGTAATTCACTCAGTTATAGCTTTAGAATAGTCACAAGTATACCAGTTTCCGCTTATTCAAGCAAGATATGATATACATCTCAGTACTACATGAATATGGTGGCTCATATTGTAAGTTTTACGGTGCTTGTCATTAACAGTCTTAATTTGAAATGGATTTTCATGAGAACTAAGTGTATGTAAATCTATTTCTTAAAAGAAAATACCGAATGACTGAAGCAAAACACTCAAATGTTTGATCCTATCGGAAAAATTTATCGATAAATTTCGATTTACACTGTGAAAGTCAGTTGATAAAACTGAACAATCAGTATGGTTGAACATTTCGAATGAATTCATTGTCCTGTATTATATTGCATTCAACATAGTTTTCTGAATTGTATCTCATTCGAATTCTCTTGTATTTCTCCCACCTCTAAAGCGATAAAGAATTGTGTATTGTAAACCTTTCATGTCAAAGTGATTTAGAACTACTGTACATCTGAAGTTTGCCTACTTCAGAATTCTTATTTCGGTCAGGTTTACTCCAAACAAAAAAATACAGGGGACAAAATTCAGAGCTGTTATTCAGAATAGATAATCGCCGATCGATAGCTGGAAATCGATATCCACTCAGCAATCTTGTGCAAATTTGTGCAATAGGCAAGGAGCCTCATCTATTGTGAAAAGGCAAATAATACTAAATGGTTGCTCAAACTTTGTAAGATGGAGTGGTGTTAGAACCTGTGATCCACTGGTTGAAAGTCAAGCCCCCCAAACCAATAAGCCACAACTTTGATAACTGGTGACCGAATAACAATAACGATTTAGTTGAATTTTGAGGGAATTGTGGGGATTTAAAAATATTTCAAGTTAATATTCATCGTAGACTAACATCAATCGGAGGAACAAAGGAAACCTAGGAGCACTGGACAGCTGTTTCGTCCTAGTATGGGACTCCTCAGCAGTCCGCACCCACGAAGTTCCAATGGGAAGTGACCGGTGGGGCAAAGCCTGATGGTCATGAGGACAGCTACTCGACGATGACATTGGGTGGCGGTTGCGCTATACCGTGAGCTAACAAAAGTTGGAAATACGGAACATTGGAATCTGACCCAGTGGGTCAATGGCAACGTGCTGGCCACGGAGCCTGAAGATCACGGGTTCAATCCCTGGCACGGTCATGGGTGCGCATTGCTGAGGAGTCCCATACTAGGACGAAACAGCTGCTCAGTACTCCCAGGTTCCCTTTGTCCCTCCAACTGATGTCAGTCTACGATGAATAACAACTTGAAATAACGATTTAGACAATAGTTCCATGGTCTCAGCAACTTTAAATCGCTCTGTCGAACTTACACCTCTAGGTAAGCAGCACATGAAAAACTCCGAGCGTTGACAAATCGAAGACAATCAAATAATTATTAATCTCATAAAATAATTTCTGTGTGTGGATACGAAAACCTGAATTCGAGGAAAAGACTTTGGACCATGTACAATATGGGAATGAACCAGGAAATAGATATGATGCTGGTAACGGACTAGGACAGAAGACGACTAAAGAACGCAGATTAATATGAAGAATAAATAAGAGGGCAATATTGAACCGTACATGACTTATGTCATAGCGAACTGAAAGAAATTAGAAAATGTGAACTAAAAGGATTTCAACCCAATGACTGAACAGTCATATTGTCACAACAAAGGCGGCTGATTCTGCACATGATCCCGTATAGGCTTATGGGTACGCAACACATAAGCTAAACCAAGCACAATTTATTGTTCATAGTCATATCAAGATGACTATGAACAATAAATTGTGTCCAAAACGTAATCCAGTAAATAATACTATCAATGTGTGATACATCTAATAAATCAACTAAAATTAAATTACGTTCTACCACTATGCCCAAGCTTTACTCTTATATTAACAAAACAAAACAGCTCTTGATTGGTTGCCAATTTTTGATTTCTCATCTGATGTTAATCCACTGTTGAAACCTTCTTGTGAACAAGCAGTGTTTTCAATGGAGCGAATACGTACGCCCAATTGTGGCCAATTGGCAGTATATTTACCCTACCTCAAACGACTGATTCCAAACCGGAGTTAAACAGCTCACATTCGAAAGTAACTTAGAAGATACACAGAAAATGAAAGACTCGTCACAAGAATGCACCAGTTCCGTTCGCCTCACTAAGCAGAATTATGTAGTGAAAAGGTGCGTAGGAAACAAATAGCAAGAAACCAAACCAAAGTATATTCGAGGAGAGAGAAGAGAGGATAAATAAATGAAGTCTGATGAGAATATTCACCATTTTCAGTGTGATTAGGAGCGTATGCATTTGGACTATTGTCTTCGATTTTGCGTCATTACAACACATATCGCAGGTATCGTAGCTGGTGAAAATTAGAAAAGTCAACCTGATTGATAGATCCTAAAGCCTAGTCTCACAGGCCTATTCACTCCCGGTTCATAATCTCATCCATGAACTTACCTCTTGCGTCTAGCACCTTCACCCGTCGTCTAAACATTATTGCAATGATGGTTCCACTATCCTAATGAAATGTTGGAAAAGCATCTTTCGTTCAATTTGTATTGGTAATTTTTACATGTCTAAAACTACCCAGGTTAACGATCGAGAATGTAAAATAGGTAACTAGATGATATTCGAGATGAAATATATTCAACTATCATCGCTCGTTCTGTAATACTTTAGCCTTTTTTTATTTCGAATGACTTAACATTTCTTCTACGCATGTGCTTTGAAAGTTAAATTGTTGATTATTTTGCAAATTTCAATATGCTTGTGATTAGAATTGGTGTAACAAATCGGTGCGACACATGACTCGGATTTATTCATACTTCTCAATAACTCTACATGTACATTAAATTATGTTGGATTAACTTATTTCTTTGAAAATAGTAGATTGCCAAAACTTGTTCAACGAAAAAATATGAAACTTTGTCATCGCATGACCAAAAAGTTCGGTGTATAAACACACCATGGAACAAGTTAAAAACTCAAATACGTTCAACTAATTTAAAAGTGATTTCTAACAAATGATATCTACACTGTTCTCTTTCATAAGGTGTATGCAGTGAATGTCACAAAGTTCCAGAAGTTTCACGTTGAAGCCGTAATATCTGTGGATGGCCTGCAGAACACATAAACAGGGAAACCTTGTGAGTTTGCGGGTTTTAGAGACGTTACATTAGCATCATTATTGCTTCAAGTCATAAAACGATGTCCCCTTTGTAAGCTGCTGAGGTGGTATATCCAGGTTGTTTTCAGGTAGCCGAATTTGGCACTTTAATATTAGTATATTCAGTAATAATGGAACTCAAATATACTGAAAAATATACTGTAGGGTTGAATTGTCTAGAACATGGTAACTCCACATTTATGCTAAATATTAAAATAATGATCACACTCGGACACATAAAGATCAGATCTGACTGGTGCAGAGGGAAACCATATGCTCAAGAGCAATATTCACCTAACATTTGTCAGATAAATTTGCTGTCACTGTGATGTATGTAGCATAAATTTGAAAACAACGCTTTAAATCTGGCTTGCAAACATATAAAAAACATTAAAACCTAAGATTTTTTCCAACTAAATGGCTCTAGCAATATAGAAATTTCCAGAATGACTGAATGTGCGGTTCACATGAAGATTTGAAGTCCGGTGAACTATCATCTCCTACTATGTCGTTTCACAATCCATAGGACGTATGGAATGTATGACTGTTGTGGATCTTTACATCGTAGTAAGAGTTCACTTGTCCAACAAATAAAGAGACTTGAATAATCAATCTACTGATGAAAAGTTATCAACAGACTGAAAAAGTACACATCAAACAAATATTAGGCTTAGGTAGAAAAATCACAAACCTGCATTATCCTATCACTCAACTGTAGGCAAACTGTTCTCTTTACTATAAAATGTAACAGGTAGTTCATAGATAGTCAAAGTCCTTGTGAAGAGTTAACATTTACCCACCTGTGTTCATTCGGAGTACTGCTTGTATGTAACCGTAGACTGCACAAGATGTATCAATAATTGCTCAAAAATTAGAAAACCAACAACAATGTATCATTATCAATTGCAGAAACACACTCACCAAATAGGCTACTTGCTGGGGAGTGAACAGGATTTGCATTAGACTGTAAGTAAGTGAACTCCTGCTTACTGCAAATACGACCAAATTCCTTAGTATCAATGTAAATAGGATAACGTCCAGATGGTAATGAAGGCATATGAATGCGAAGTTGAGATCGATCAGGCTGATTAGACTCTTGAAAGAACCAGTCTTGTCTGGGAACTTGCTGGTCACTAACAAAAACAGAGGCTTCTTGCATTGTCTCATTTGTGAGGTTATGACAGTAGACGGTAAGCTCGGTGCCACCTAAGAAAAGTATCAGAAGTTTAAAAAGTTTCTCAGTACTGTTCACTCGTTGAAATTACGTAAGGAAATTAGACGTAACTTTACAAATAACAGAAAAGATTTGTAGCCCAGGATGAGGATTACGATGGTCTCATTTTCTTAGACCTTAGACATTGTGTCACGGACAACTCGTCACCAGACTTAATGACATTATCACTAACTTCATCAAGAAGTTTCCGTCTCAGTTCGGTACTTCCTAGCAGTGTTTACCCACTATTCCGAGGGGGTCGATCTCAGGATCATCAAGTTTCGTTGACGATATCAACACCTGGTGATAAAATATCCACTGCTAATGACCAAACCTCAGAGGAGAGAAAACCATCGCTTACAAATAACTGGTTAACAGTAAAACCTGATGCAACATGACATCGGGTTAAAATGGTATAACTCCATAAAGAATAGAGGAAAACAACCGGTTGGAATATGAAATAACGGTCAGGGAATAATGCGACGAGAAAGCGTTCGACTTCTACGAAAACAAAGAACGAAACACCTGCTCAAATAAGAAAGACTCAGATATCCTTCCTATCCGTTGGCTTCAGATATCGAGATGACCTGAACCCAAAAGTCCCTATTCTTCTACAAAGTTCAGACAAACAATCAATAGTATCCTAGTTCTGCCTCACATCTATTTGAACACAATAAGATTGAGTTTTATGGCCAGTGTAACTAGCATCAAGTATCAAAGTCATTATCAGCTTGGCATGCACTGCACATGTCTCGACAAATTCAGCCTTATCAAATAGTTTACCTTCCTTTACTTAAAATCATTCACAGGTGTAACAGTGTTCGGGCATGGGTTCCAAGAAACACCTTACGAAATAATATAGCAACATTACGAAGATATGAAGGTGATATAGAGATAAGACACGAAAAACAAGAGCAAATAAGTTAATGGATTATCAAAAAAGCAGTTTCAAGGATCCAATCAAGGCAGCATTCATAGCTTTCTTGTCATTTTTCAAAAGCAGCAATAGTATGGCCGCCTTGATTCAGTGCTATATATGATGTTGGGAGCCAATGAGTCACATGATCGCTTAAACCGGAAATAGTAATGATATGGTGCATCAGTAGATCCTAACCCAACGCAACTACCTTTCAACCCTCGGTACCATGTCATATACTATCATACCTCCGCTTCTTCCATAGAAACTCGGTGCTAGTAGACTGTAAACGTTACGAAAAGAAAAGCATTTACATTTACAGCATCTACTCAGATGTCCTTGAAAGACAATCCAGTAAATATTTCAGTCGGAGAGTGTTTTTTCACTGATTATTTTGGGCCCAGTACATTCCACTGACAGTAGGATGACAATTACAATTTTTGAACATTTTTATCATACTTAGGAATATTTTATGATTCTAATGGAAAAAATGAACCGGCTATTCGTTAACACTTCTCACTGGTTGCTTCACTGAGAAAGTATGTGAGCAGAAGCATTTTAATAAATCTCAGTGTTATCGTTTGTGTAAGAAACCACATTTTAATCAGATTTGTATAAAAAATAATCAGTGACATAGATATTATTCCTCACTTATTGCTAAAATATTCGATGTAACAAAACAAGACCAGATAAATAACCTGCGAGAAAAATGAAACAACATACTGTTTGTTTAAACTTCAAAACAATGTAAAGCCGCGTGCGTGGCTAGATGAGAAGTTTAAGTGAGGCATAGGGCAATAATAAACCGTGGACTTACCTGAAGACGGACCACATTTTGGAGCTATTCTGATCAGTTCTGGTTTAGATTTTAAGCTGTCACTTGAATTCTTACAGCTATCTGTCACATTTGAAGATAAATTATTACTTTGTTCCAAAGATGTTGGGTAGTCCAAGTTTTTCGAATGACTTATGGTTGATAATAGTGATAAAGGGTTGACTGGTTTCTCATTCGAATAACGAACAGAATGGTTTGTCATAGGATTTAAATCACTGCTGGTTAATTCACTATAAGCACCAAGTACACTTCCATCTCTTTCTTCAATCATCCCATCGTCTTCATGTAAATTTTGATGATAATAATCTTGAAAAGGAATAACAAAAAACGCCATGAGAAATTGTGGTTAGCGTTGCATCTATAATCTCAGATGGTAAGCATTCCCATTTACCTTCAGTAAGTTTAATTCACGAGAAACATGGAAAGGAAAGGAAAAAAGTTAAACTCACCTAAGATCTCCTAAATCAGGAAGAATCATCATTCAATAAATAAGAATCAAAAACATCTTTAATGTTCACAATCAAACAGAAGGACTTTTGGATCTAAATATTGTTCTTCTAAGCAGTCATTAGAAAGAAGTGTAAGTTAGCCTATGTAATTTGAAGACCCGTATAAGGTAGAATCGTGTAAGTTCGTAATACGCATCATTTAGCTTGGAGTGGGTTGCTGCAAGCTTTTGAAATCACAAAAAAAGAAGCCAGATGTTTTTTCCTGATTTTTCATACACTCGTGTTTTTGAGAAGTCATGCTAGGGGGCATAATTAAACCTTAATCTCTGAATTTGAATTTCCAGAAAAATATATCAGCAAACAAAAAGAGTAGCGATGGCATTTTTAATGTCATCCGTCGTAGCAATTATGTCTATCTATTGAGGAGCTCGGACGTTTGTTTCTATCATCAATTGGGTTAGGTGATTTTATTCGTTTCTGAAACCATTTTGGAACCACTTTCAGAAACTAATAGAGTCACGTGATCTAAATGATGCAAGAAACTATGTTTATGAACAGTCTGGAACAAGTGACACTAGGGATATCTTAACTTACTCCAAAAGTATGGTGATATAAAACTGATACTGTTACTTTGCCGTAATCACAACACCTACAGTTTTTTCATACAAATAAAATGATTAGTGACTGTAACCCAGTTCACCTATAAATTAAAAAATCAAAGAGAATTACGTGTGTGAGACAGAGAAATTAGTGTTTACAGAAAACAATAACACTTAAAAATACCTGGTTATGATATCATCTCAGGCTATACCTCTTGAGATGGGCATGTTGATATGTTCCAGTAGTTGAGCTATGATTTAAACTGGTAGATCAGATCTAAAAAGTCCACTATAATGTCAAAAACTTCTTGAAAATTGCCCTAAAGAATTCACAACAGGGTAGTAAGGAATGACGAAGAAAATGAAATAATAATTTCAGCAATAATTTCAACACGTCTTAAAGGAATTTCAAGCCTCTTTTGTGTTACCATATACACAAAGGACCCGAGAAATTTTACATGAAGTTCTAAAAAACTCTGAAATTACTACTGGTATTTAAATTTAAGAACTAACTGATAGAAAAATTTTGTAGGTTAAGGGATCCCATCGACTTAACCATCTAAAACGATCCAATCTTAGTGCAAAGTATTGCAGCAATCGTTAGAAGGTTAGATTACCTAAAGCAGTGATATAGCTTTGTTACTGGCTTCCAAGAGCCTTCGTTTGTTTTTGCATCCATCACTTGTAGAGCAGGTATCAGTTAACTGAATATGCAACAGATTTTGGTTGGTGTTCAGTCGACGACTTCTTCCTATATATATATACGCACCAGTTTTGGAAAGAACAAAATGGTCTACTTTTACATCTGCAAGACAAATCTTCCACAAAAGCATGACTAGTCTCATTTTACGGTTATTAACCCCGCAAAAGATAGCCACTTTACTTCTAAAAGCATTGTACAGCTGTGGCTCAGTGTTTTCGGGAGTTCTTTCTACCAGTAAGTCACACGTTCGAGTCCCACTCCACCTACCGAGGTTTGAGCAGCCAGGTAGTATAATTAGTCCTCACACGATAAGTGTGGCTCACTGCCTGTTGCACGAATGTGTGCTAGGTTGCGGAGTGCGTTTTGATATCTATAAGAGTACTGAGCGGCAAAATATTCATGCGAATTACATAAATATAAAATATCGATAATGAACACCCTGTTTAATTTATCTAGAAGCCAAAGTAACAAGATTAAAGATGGTGGAATCAAACAGTGAAAAAGTGACAACCGGAAAAATAATATCACCATTACTTTTGCAATAAAAAACTAGTAATAATAAAAAGCTTCATAAGTATGTGAAAACTCACAAAAAAATAAGTGACATACCAAACGGGTTGTAACCATTCCCTACTGGCTTTTTATTAGACATTGGGCTAACAGGTGGACGTGTGTAGGAAAGTGCAGCAGCTGCATGCAACGCTTGTGATGTTTTCTTTTTATACCACGGTTTCTTTTCCTTTGAATCCCCATGAGTGGAAGATAGGCTTATAACACTCCCGCTGTAATTCAGTGAATTAGGTGTTGAGCCTTTGTCTTTATGGAGGTGCAAGCTGAAAATCAAATTTTGAAAAGTTTTGTTTACAGATGACAATACACAAAATCACAGAAATCTAGTATACCACACACACTCAGTAGGCATCTATATAAGCGAGACATCGCATGTTTAAGGACTTAGTAGGTTCTATCAAAAGCTTTCCACTAAGATTTATTATACACTGTTCTATTATCTTTCTAGTGAAAAAAATAGCAAAACAGGTGCTATTTACAAAAAAAACTAGAGAATAGATGAACCATAATCCGAAGCATCTATGCCAATAAGTGGTGTATATATATAAAATAAGTCTGAAATGGATGCATATTTCCATCTTCCGATTGCTACATGATGATCAAACTCACATATTATTTGATACGAGTTACGCTGACTGAGACGCTTATTCCCTCAGTTTTCACCATACCAGAAAGTCTGGTCGAATAATGGCAAGACAAAAAATGCAAATAGCTGCATTTGAAAAGGTATGGCCCAAAAATAGCACCTTTCTCCCGGCTATGAGGTACTGCATTGCCAGAGGTATGGGCTCTTCGTGTCTGGTAGCAGCACCATCATATCTCAATCCAAATATCATAAAAACAGCTGTATGATGGTCCTCAAACAGAGATGGCATTTGCTGTGTAATCATGCATAAACAATACATTTTCGCTTTCAGTTACTTGGTGTACGCAACCTCTACAGTGTGAACAACCAGGAAGTGCCAAATACTCACACACATCCACAAGTATACAAAACCCAATCAAACATAACCTACCCTCTTCACTATTGTCTCTTCTCTTACCTTCACTTCTCAAGATAAGTATTAGGTCTCTTATAACTTCCCGACCTCTCACCCTGCTAGTATTGCTAAAGATACAAGCCAGCAAACACCATCCATAGTCTCCTAAGACCCCACGATCAATTTCAAACTTAAGGTTTAAGTATTCAAACCTTGTGCAAGATGAGACAGCAGGTATCATCTATTAGAACTCCAAAATCTCGAGTCATGGATCCATGCTGCTTTTCAAACACGTATCCATGACTCAAGTGTGGTTATTCACTTGACCTAACCTAGTCGATCCAGTAAATCTTCAAAATCCGCATTACGAGTGTCCAGAGATTTAATGCCCAGCTCTCGTGAGCTCAGTGGTGTAGGTAGAGCATTAAATTTTCAACCAGATATTGAATTCTACTGGATGCCAGTGAACAGCAGCCTGTGTGGCGCAAAGGTGAATATATTTGTAGGAACTACGAAGCATCGTGAGACTTGCCGATGCCTATCCACGTCCAACGATTGCGGTTCGGATGATGCAAAGGATGAATCCTATAAAAAACTACATACGGTAAAACGTTCAGATACATTCATACTTGCAAACAAACAGACAAAAAATGTCAAAGTAGAACCTCATAAAGAAGTTACCACACTTAACACTAACTAATCAGAAAGGCGTTTTAAAAGTATCTACAGCATCCCATCCCAAGGAACCCAGAGCGCCTGAAACGTTGGGTAGAATCACTGTTTAAACTACATACATACATGCTTCAGTTACGTACTATCGAGCCGGAACCTGACCAAGACATGGATATCAGTCCTCCAACCTTCCTCAAAGTTGAGGCTATGTCAAGCCTGAAACGATCCAAAGCAGTAGGACCTCATGGTTCACAAGTTTTTAGGGGAGGTAGGAAATTACTAAGGAAGGAACTAGCTGGTGTATGGAAGTCAGATGTTTTCCAGTCAGACTGGTCTGCTATACTGATTATTCCACTTTATAAGGAAGTCATCGTGTTACAACTATAAGAGGATCGACTCACCTAACACTATTTCTAGAATCCCAGGATTCATAATTGTCCAATGCTTAACCTGAGCTAGAGAAGAAACTTGAGAAAATTAGGCAGGTTCCAGACTAGATATTCACCCCTCGATAGGTTTTAAAATACACAGACACAGTTAACGGTACCCGATACTTGCCACATTCCTCGACCTTAAGACGGCATTTGATTCTCTCAACTGAGAGGTTTTGTGTCAGTGTTTCCCTGTAAAGGCAGTATCAAGAAAGTGCATAAACATGATGAGAGCTTTCAACTGGGGCTCAATCTGGCGTGTAATGGCTAGTGTCGAGTTGTTATCTGAATTGATGACAGTGGTGTCAAAGGATGCCCGCTTTCAACGTCGCCATTTAAATTCGTTTTAAATGTATTATTGGACAAAACCTCAGGAAACTCTGACTGTCCTACCCCTTGGAGGGCACCTGGTCGATTTGAAGTAATCAGATATCATAATCCTGTCTACTTTGAACATAAATCCGAGTACGTATGGTATGCGTTTCACATCTGTCAATTTAGGATAATGCTTCAAAACTGGTCAACAGCTACTCCCAGTATAAGGATAGGGACGAAAATGCAGCTCGGTTACAAAAGGTTGGGATTTATCAACTAGCTTAATATCTGGAATCTATGCAGTTGTTGTGGAATGGTATTATGATGAAACTGCCTACTGACTACATTTCAGTTTCTACGCTTATCATTACTAGTTTAGAGAAATACCTAGTGGGTAACCGGAACAGAATGATGTTGCAAACCACAAGTTTACAGAGTTTTACAACTTATCAACTTCGAAAAACCATATTTGTCCATTTCTTTTCTCCATTCTAACATTACTAACCAACTGGTTAGTCACTAGATAAAACTTACCTAGATAAACTCAAGACAGAACCCTTGGAGCTTCTACTTTTAGAATCCTCGCTGCGGTATTCTTCAACCCAAATCCAAAAGTACAGTCTTCCAAACCCGACTTCTGTTTTCTTTGTTTGCTCGACATCCATAATACATAGTCGAGAACCGTCGGTGGGACTAATGGAAGAGTCTGTTGGCTTTGGCGGAATAGAAACTCCAGGCACTACGACTTGTCCAGCATGATTATCTTCAGAATCCGAAACCAAAAGGACAACTGGATCACCCCGAGTAGCAATTTTTCTGCAATGCATAATGCAATATATGTGCAGGCAACTTACAAGGTCGTTTCAAAATCCCAAACAGGATTACCATCCGGTGCGAAAACAGATTCTGAGCTTATTTTCTTCTTGCCGCCCAATATCACAACCTTCCATTTCTGACTGACTTTTCCTAATGCACAAAATGACCATAATTTAATTATTACTGAAATATATATCACCTACTTTGTTTATGATCAGAACGAGGAGCCACACGCAAGTTTTCAGCTTTCAAAACTGCAAATTTTCCTCATAAAGCATGAGAGAAACTAACCTCTTACAGTAACCTCCTTAGGATGCCGTACACCTGATCCTAACATGTTACCTCGAAACAAATTTGAACATTCTTCGAAATCATTACCACGACGAACACATAAAAGAAAAGCTTAAAACACCGTGATCACTCTTCAATCTTTGAATTGTAGGAAAAGAAAACAACTGGACGTTTGTTTCATTATTCTTCTCGATCTGCGAAAAAACCTTATTATGATTGAACGTTTTCTAATCTAGGTGAAACTATGACCTTTTTGAAATAAATCTAATTTTATTGTGTTTGCTCATATTAACATTCTTTTTGCAGTAACTCAATGTAGCGACAAGCCGTTCGTAGGTTTCCGTCTAGCCTGTGAGTCATTTTTGCAAGGAAACCATGCAGATGATATTGCATAAGTTTGGTTGTACACGAAAGCGAGACATGCGAGATGCTGTGCCGCGCCTTATAGGCAAGGGACAAGACAAGGGGAAGCGGAAGACTTCCTTCCGAACAAGCCCATCCCCTAAACAGACAACTACTGATGCCTGGTTTTAGGAAATTTCAACACACCGTCAGCTGACTGGGGTAGACTAACAACAGAAGCATCATTGTCTTTGCCTGTAGTGCAGAAGTTTCCCTCAGCACCAATCTTCGCTTCTTTGTGTCCACTAAAAATGCATGCCTCTCCAAAAACATCTGCACCCAGTCTTGCTAGGTCTAGGTTTGCTGTGGTGAAAACCCGAGATCCGGGTTGATGGCCTTTTGATAGAACGTCACTATTTGTGTTTTACTGGGGGCCTGTTGCGCGACTGAAGACCTTTGCCGTTCGTGCTCGTCTCTGTCTCGTGGGAGAATACTGGGAGTGGCTTCAGAGTCTACCACGAATTCTGTGACAGAAGTTCTGTCTGTGACATAGAATAGGCGATTGCTTGGGCACCCTCCTCAGTAGTCGCTACCTGAAGAGGGTCCTTGTTTATCTGTTTGGCAGAAAATGGCTTCGGCCAGGCGCATGGTTCTGTGCATCGGTTAGATTGTCTGCCGCACTTTCAGCGATTCCAACAGAATTGTCAAGACTACCGAGTGTCTGGGTTTACTTCGGTGGCTTGCCCCTTTGGCTCTGACTCAGTTAGATTTGAGCCACAGCTTCCATTAGTCTTTCCACTTTTGTCAGTAATTCTATGATGATAACATCCTCTGATGAGCTGTGACCAATACAGAGTGATACGTGGTTGTTCCTGGTTGTTCCTCTATCCATAATGTGATCTGCAACATGGGCAATTCTGAAAGCGGGCATTTCGGGTCCTGCGAGTCTACCGCATGCTGGACATAATACGGCAGTGCCTGAACCCACCCTTCCTTGAGGATGGCTTCTCCAACCGCCTTGTCCCTCACTATCTTTCGCAAGTGTCTCAAAAACTGTGATGGGGACCTATCTACCCACATCTCCCCTTGTGGCAGACGTTAGATGTGTTAGCTCTCTGACATTGATAAACGGCTTATTGTCGCACGCTTGGGCGTGGAATGAGGTGCTCCGTCGCGGGTATTCACTATGAGGTCACGAACCTCGTTACTGACTAAGAGAAGAAGAATGGATCACAAGTCTTTGTGTCTCAGCTTCTCTGACATTATATCGCGTCGGTCAAAGAGATGCTCCCGCTGAGAGAACCATAGTTATGGGGCTTGCTTGTCAAAGTCTGGCAATCGACTATCAGTAGCGACTGTAGTGTCAGCCTCCAGTGAGACGGACCCCCTCACAATATCGGAATCATCATCAACAAAGTTAGACATTTAAAAGTTCAAAAGTGATAAACAAACGACTAGGATGAATGAATGCGGAAAACGTACGTTGTCGGGCTCACCGATGTTAGACGCAGTGGCTCGCAGCCAACGCTCGGGACAATCTGCTTGAGGCAGCCACAACGTAGTGAATAAGAAGTTAGTGGCAGAACCACAAAGTGCTTATCCCAAGCACTCTAGTGAGCAAAATTCAAAGAGTACGCTAGAAGTTATCCGTTATTCGATAGCTGTCAGTGGTGAACACGGTTTACAGTAGGTGGAGACCATGAACGAGTTTACTGGGCGCCACAGAGTCGCCGTGAATTGTCACAATAACAGCGGAAATACAATTATCCCTGAAATCCAGGTAAAAGAGGTTCAAGGAAACTTCAGTGACGGATAACCTTGGGGATGACCGATTGGGTTGAGGGTACTGGGACAAAAGCCACCCATTACGTCCATCTACAACGTTCCACAAATGTTTGATGAATTAACACGAAGAAAACGTTGCCGGTCACTTGCAGAGAGTTCGATAGCTTGTTAAGAGTGTTCACTGTCAGTGTGATGTCGCAACTGGCTGCGTGCCTAACGGTGTTGGAAGAGGCGGTTTTATCCCTAGTTGTTCCGCTTGCCGCTAGTAGAGCTCCCTGAGAACAGGATCGTTTTCAGGAAATTCTATCTAACTCGACAACTAATGATGATCTCATTCTAATTTGGGCCAATGGAACACCCGTTATATCTGCTGGGGCCCTGAATGATGTCATCATAACTTCTTCGGTGCAGTGGTATCAGCACTGCCGAGACATTTGCGTTCAGAATTGTTCCAGGTTTGATGTAAAGTTTGGTGGAGTAAGGGATGTCGTAGAAGTAGATAAATGTCTTGCTTGGAGACTTATGCATAACCAAGGGAGGTGACTCAAACAGGACCGGGTAACTTACACATATATGGCTATAAGTCACAGATGCCTAGCACGTACTGAGGGGGTGCGAGAAAAGAACGCTTTTAGCGGAAAAAGGATAGATCCGAAGATTCTATCGTGCCGGCTGTAGAAAAATGGGTGGCAGCTGGTGCAACGGTATGCACTGAAGCCTGGAAGTCATACGTGTTATCGTAATAATGATGGTAATAATTTATTCCCGAACTCACAGGTGCACGTCATTTTTACGGATACGGTTATAAGAGTTAGTGGTGCAATATCGGCGGTAATATTTTCGTTCACAAAAAAATTTTCATCATCTTTTCATTACAGGTAGTGGAAATCCCCAGTCTGAAGAAAAAAGAAAACTTCACACTACATATAAATGCTGCACTTTAATATGGGTTTCTCACATCGAGCTGTGGTCCAAGAGAGGCATTTACGATTTGTCCTGGTGCGAACTTGACAGACGCAAAGACCAATCACTAATTATTCGAACTTGTTATATACCCACGAATACGAGACCAAGGAAGAACACGATAGCGTAGTCGGATGGAATAGTATATTTGGATGGTTATGCCAAAATACCGATGCGTTCCAACTAACTGGCTAGAGAGTCGAATACGAGCAATGCAACGTAACACGACAGCGTGCCAAATGGCGAGGATGCTTGACCGGGTGCCTTCAGCTTAGCGAGTCCAGTTAAACTATCAAGGTCAGCATCAATGTCGAAGTCGTCAAACCCTAGGCTATTGATTTTGGGGAAGTGTATGACGCTACAGATCACTCCCCCCTAGTGGGTTCGTGAGGACCCTAAGACGATACCAGCCGGAAGTAAAAACCCAGTGGTTTCTCCACTGGTAAAACTCTCCGATGGGCTCACTGCGTGAGGTGGCCCCTGGTTGTCTGAACCTTATTCTAAAATACAATAAATGAAATTGTACGTCGGTCGCGGTCATCTGTTCCTTTCGACGTTCCGTCCAGTGCTCGTTGCACCTGGAATATAAATAAAAGTCTTTAATACCACGAAAACGTTGCGTAAAAATGGGAATTATTTATATATAAACGTGTCGAAAAAAAAAATTTACGCTTATCTTCGCCGTTTTTTTTAGTTTTTATTACATGGTAAATAAAAATTGATATAAAAAGGCAAAGTGTACGAGGGTTTGTGTGCCGGTAAATAAGAAAAATAGTGCCTCGAAGAAAAAAATGGTTGGCACACACACAGCTAAGTTGAATATGACTTCAGGTACTCTGGGAACCTGACGGTTCGACCTGATCGTGTTTTTTGTTGCGCCGCTGGTTGTTGCAGCTGTGCATTACCAGGCACATCGTCGAGAATTTCGATAATTGAGTCATCCGTCGGTCGGATGTAGCGAGCTGAAACGTCACTTACAATGGGGTTGCCTTCGAAATAAGCTGGTTTCAAACGGTCGATACTGACAGTATCTTCGCGTCCGCCTCGCTCAATTACATAGAATTTCTCATGTCGCTTAATCACTTTGAACGGCCCGTCGTAGGGTGGTTCAAGTGGTCGACGAACAGCGTCGTGGCGAACAAACACGTGTGATGTCTTCTGTAAACTGGGGTGGACGAAAACATCAGTCGTTTGCGGTCTAATCGGAGAAGGCCTAACTGAACGCATTGCGTTTGTAAGCCTAGTCACATAAGATGCCCTGTCGGAAACATGTTTGAAAGTTGAAGGGGAAACAAACTCACCTGGTAGGCGAAGAGTGGTCCCATAGACGAGTTCTGCAGGAGTGCATCCAGCATCAACTTTCAACGCGTTACGAATACCTAGTAGGACTAGAGGCAGAGCCTCGGTCCACTGAGGTATGTTTGTAGCTGAAAGGGAAGCTTTCAGCTGTCGATGGAAACGCTCTACCATGCCATTTGCTTGTGGATGGTAGGCTGTCGTTCGGAACCGAGTGCAACCTAAAAGTGCCGTTAGAGCGTGAAATAGTCCGCACTCAAATTGGCGCCCACGGTCGGTTGTGACGTAGGATGGACATCCGAAGTTCGCGATCCATCTTTCGACGAAAACACGAGCAACTGTTTCGGCAGTAATATCTTTAATGGGTACTGCTTCCGGCCATCGTGTGAAACGATCAACACAGGTGAAAAGGTAGGTACATCCATTAGATTCTGGTAGGGGTCCTACAATATCTATATGGACGTGGTCGAAACGCATGTCTGGGGCTAGAAATGAGCCTAAAGGGCTTTTCGTGTGTCGCGTGACTTTACACTTTTGACAAGCTAAGCACGACTGGGCCCACTCCTTAACGTCTTTGTTCATCCCAGGCCAGCAGAAACGTTGTGCGATAAGCCTAATGGTGGCTCGTACACCTGGATGAGAGAGTTTGTGCAACGTATTGAAGACGTTGCGTCGACAACTCTTCGGAACTATTGGGCGTGGTTGACTAGCAGAGACATCGCACAAAATTGCATCCTTGTCTGATCCAACAGGACAAAGTCGCAGTTTGAGAGTTGTGG